CAGCTTCTTCCCTGGGGTGTCCCCGGACGCACAGCACCAGGCAGCTGCCTCAGGTCTTCCTCCTACCCACGAGCCTGGCTGGCAGCAGCAGCTGCCCGACAGCAGCACCTCCCCGACAGCCATCCGTCGGGTGTCACGTCTGTGTCCCCAGCACTCGCTGTCATGACTGTGCAGCTCCCCTCCTCGCCCGGCAGCACACAGCCCCTGCCTGGCACTCACCAGGTACCACTGCTGTGGGAACTTGGGGTCCGTGGGCTCCATGAAAATGTCTCGTTTGGTCCTGCGCTTTGCCACCTGCTGCTCCAGCCACTCCACCTGGGGACAGAGAGGACATGGGACTCCCCCACTGCCCCTGCCTGCCCCCTTGGTAGCTCGTGCCCACGCCAGCAGCTCCCTGGGCCCCTTGCCCCCCAGCCAGCAGCCTGCGCAGAGGGGCTCTCCCTGGGGAGCTCGCAGCCAGCCCTGGGTTGGCAGAGCATCTGACCCCGCCAGAGCCACTGCAGCACTCAGACTGTCCCTCCTGGCCTCCCCTGCCCAGCCATGCCAGGGCGGCAGCGCCAGACATCCTGTGACAGGCTGCGCTCCAGTGGAGCGGGCAGGTCAGAGCACAGAGCTCTGCCGAGCAGCGGGCTGCCAAGAGCCTGCCAGCTGCCTCGACACACTGCGCACCCCACTGTGCTGCCTGCATGCCAGGCCCCTGGGCCGGAGCCAGGGTACGGAGATCACGGCAGCGCCACCACACCGCCACGCTGGGATCTGGCACTGCCCCGCACACCTTGCCCTGCGTATGAGGACGGAGAGCCCTCCAGGGAGCTGAGCCCATGCCCTGGGATCACAGCACCCACAGGATGGTGATGCAGGCTCTGCTGACCCCCTGCCCTTGCCAGCCGCATGCTGGGCTCCCACCCGGCTCTGCCATGGGCCTCAATGCCATGGTGATGGTTCAAGGCAGCTCCGCCCCGTCCCGTGCCCAGTGCTGGCTTGCATGACAGTGTGAAGTGCCCAGGACCAAAGCCAGGCTCCTGCAGACGGCAGGCAGGGCTGCCCCGCTGCACATACCTGCGGTTCCCTGGCCAAACGGCTGTGCCAGGGCTGGTGGGGTGAGAGGGAACGCTTCACCACACCACTGTGCCGAAAGTGGTAGTAGTCACCGAAGATCTGCAACAAAGAAAGGAGCAGGATGGACATGAGAGCCCAGCCTCCCCAATTCCCTGTTCTCTCACCTGTAATCCCAAGCTCTGGGGCTGCCACAGGCAGGG